CCGCGCCACCAGCGAGACCCGGGGCCACGGCACACGCAGGTGGCACAGCAGGGCGTGTCTGTGGGCTAGCTGCACACGGCCACAAGCTCACCTCTTTGCTCCAAATGACACACACACTTCGCGATCGCGTCTCACGCGTGAAGGCGTGTCACGACGTAGGGAGGGGAGGCGTCTCACTACGTAGGGGTCACGGGTCGCCGGATTAAATTCTCATGTTTCATATTGCACGAAAAACCCGCTGGACCCCCGCGCCCACGGTGTGAGTTTGAGAGGGACGGAATACCAGCGGGCTAAAAACTAGACGATGCCGGCCGCCGATCGCGCCAACCCGCTCCGCGGGCAGGTACTTGAGTTGGAGAGGAGGCTCAAGGTAACCCAGGAACTACTCAAGACAGCCGAGAGCAATCGCAGCAGCTACCTCGCCGAGAACATGCGCCTCAAGACTCACGTCAAGGAGCTCCAGCGCTCGGACCGCACTGACCCGACTGATGTTCCAGCAGAGCCCAAGGAGATGAAGACCCCGAACGACTGGACACGGGCAGCAGTAAAGACTGAGGCATTCATGGAGCAGAACTATGCCGACCGGGAGCAATGGGTTGACATCTTTCTCCGAGTTCTTCGTAGGCAAAAGACCGCCTATCTAGGCGTGGCCGACGGGCAGGACCTCACGTACTGCATCGAGAGCAGCGAAATCTTCAAGGCCGCGCTGGCAAAGATCCACGATCACCACGAGATGGAGATCCACGATCACCTCACGCAGACCGTCTTTTCCGCCGAGAAGGCAGAGCTGATCCGGCTCTTCCTTCACCAGTCGTGGAACAAGCTAGGGTGGGCGCGCTTGGTCTGGATCTGGGACAACACCCTCGTCGATTCAGAGACAGGGGAGCGGTGCCGTGCGCGCGAGTATCTGCTCCCCGACGGCAAGTCGCGGTGGGCAGTGCCCGAGATCTTCCCCATCAAGGAGATGCGCGCGTGGGAGAATGAGAAGCTGCAGACGGGCCTCGCGGAGTGCCCGCTGCGCAATGAGCAGCACCCGGACCGGAAGGGGGCGTACGTGACCGATGTCGACTGGTGCATGCACAACTGCATCTTACACACCTACCGCGCCGACTCTCGCACGCGCGGCATGGCAACTGCCGGAACGGAAGCGGACCCGCACTGGATGCTTTTGACGGGAGACGGAGCGGGGCTCACAGCAGATGACTCGGGTGTCCGTGTCGGAGTTCTTGCGGGGTCGGTGAACGGGATGAATCAGAGCGTGAATGGCGTGTGGAATTTGATTTTCTATCGAGCAAGCGAGCACGCTGAGCACTACCTCACCCTCAAGGCTCGTCTCGCCGAGGTGCGAGTGGCGCTTTGCCGGATCTACCGCGAGGGCTTTCTGCGCGACAAGAGAACCGGCGAGCCGATTCGCAACCCGGAGACGGGGGGAATCATCTACGTGAAGTTCTATTTTACGGCAGACAAGCCGTTCCTCTGCCACGCACTTGGCCGCCGCAGCTTCAACCACCACTTCTTCTCCCCATTCTGCCGCTGCACGCTCGATGAGATGTACAACACGAAGCACGACGCACTCACACACTACGAGAACATCTCTTTCGAGACGCGGTGCAGCTGGGCTCTGGTGCCGCTGTGGGAGGCACTCGGGCTTGAGGAGCCCGAGGACTGGAGCGTCATCGACGCCAGGGGGAAGGTGTGGTCGAAGAAGGAGGTGCTGGCGGAGCGAAAGAGGATCGAGCGCCTGGAGGAAGGGCCGCGCACCAAATTTCTCGAGGAATGGTCGATGAACAACCACGGGCAGGAGTTCAACCGATGCCCGCTGCTGCCGTACCACGACTTGGGTCCCGACGTGTTGCACCTAAACATCTGCCAGTGGAACTCTGCGGCGGTCGAGGCCTTCCACGAGCACCTCCTTCTCGCCGACGACAAAGAGGCAGACCCGGGCCTGCGGGCGAAGGCGAAGGAGATCCGTGACCTGGTGAACGCGCGACTACAGGAGTCGGGCACGAATCTGATGCTCAGCTTTGGCATTAAGGGGAAGGGCCACTCCGTCAACGGGCCCAAGCTAAAGAAGTTCATGCGGAACCCGACGCTGCTCGTGGATCTGATCAAGCTGATGGAGCCGCTCTACGACTTGATGGAGATCAAAACCCCGAAACGCGTCGCGATGGACGAGACCGTGGCGCGCAACCTCGGCGTACGGCTCGCGCCCGTTGCCACCGACGCACCTGCCGCCGTACCCGGCTCGGAGTTGCGGTCAGATGGCCGGGGCAGCGGTGGAGGCCGCGGCCGGGGCAGGGGTCGAAAGAGCAAGAGGGGTAGGGGCAAGGGCGGGGGCCCTATCGTGCCTCAGTACTCGAGCCTGGCGGCGCAATCTGCCGCCAGCAGCAGCCAGTCGGCGCTCACGCCGACGCAACCCACTGCGGAGGAGGAACAGGCCTGGGCGGCGAGGCCATCCTACAAGCAGCGCGTCTGCACCATGTTCTACGCGCTCGCGTGCTTCTGGCAGTTCCTCCACCAGGAGCGAGGCGACGTGGACGCGTTCCCGGACGGGCAGGCAGAGGAGCTCGCGAAAGAAGCCGCGACGATCGCGCTCGACGTCGAGAACGCGATGCTCGCCTGCATTGGGCACAAGAAGCAGCGGGGGTACGCGCACGATACGCTCTATGGCGTCTCTAAGATATTCCTGATTCTCAAGAACGCGTACCTCGGATCGACGGAGGGATTTGAGCATGCCCACCAGGAGATGAAGAAGATGTTTCGCGCGATGTGCAGCCACTCGGACAAGAACAAGTGCGACACGTTGCAGTTCCTCAATCTGCACACGCTCCGCCGCATTGCCACGATAGAGCTGCGCGACCTCGCACCGGACAATGCCTACACGCGGCGCGTGATGGGCGAGAAGAAGACGGACACGGGCGTCAAGGACACGGACGCGCCGGTCGAGGAGACCAAGGCAAACCTGGCCGAGCGCGGCGGGGAGGGGGCCGACGGCGCGCCGAACTTCATGTCGAAGGAGCTGTTCCCCACATTGCAACAGGCGTACCCCAAGAAGGTGCCGCCACGGTACAAATCGCCTACCCCCACCGGCAACAAGCGCCGTGCGGAGGAGTCGCCCGCGCAGCCCTCGCCGGACAGGCCCTCTAATGAGCCAATGAGCCCCGCATAGAGTACGTACCAGGACAAGCATAGTGCAGACAGCGGGAACCAGCGCGGGCCGCGCGCGTGTGTGTGGGTGGGGGCACACGCACTAGACTGTGCCGGTACGGACGGATTCTACTGAAACGCCACCGGCTGGTCGCACCAGCCGCTAGCGCGCAGGCTGTGCCGGACAGGCTCCGCCGCCCACGGCTGCTTGAGCGTCTTCTTTGCGTACGCAACCAGCGCGTGCGCCTCTGCCATCTCGAGGCGCAGCTCGTCCGTCGGCGCGGTGTACGGCATGATGTCGCCCGTCGCCGAGTTGATGCCCACGGTGGTGAACTCGACCGTGAACTTGTAGGAGCCGGGGGCAGGCGCGTCGGAGCCGCCTGCGCGAGCAATGCACGCGGCGTGCTCCTGCGAGAAGATGGTGAGTGTGTGCGCCCGCTGCCAGTGGTCCTCCTTGACCGCGATCTTGGCCTTTGTGCCGCTCGGAGGAGTAGAGAAGTACTGCAGCAGCGCGAGCGCATACTCGCGCAGGGAGGCCTCCTCGACCAGGACAGCAAGCCCAAACATCGGGCCGGTCCTCTCGATCACCTTGAAGGCGATCCGGTCGCGCATCCTGGTCACGACGTAGAACAAAGGATTGCGGGAGACGTTCGCGCTGCGCATGAAAGGCCCGAACAAACCGCTCGGGGATGTTGTCGAGGGGCTCCCACGTCCAACCATCGACATCGTAGTCTTCCCAAGCGGTCAGAAGCTCGATCCCCCCAGCCCTCTGCCGCCACGAGATGACCTTCTGGACGTTGTAGCTGTCTGGCAGCAAAAGCCGCTTTCGGCCCCGCCCGGACCTGCAGCGGTTTTGGTTGGATTCCGTGAGATACCGATTTTTCTGTCACTAAATAATTGGCGTAGTGCTTGCCATGAGGGTGCTGAGGGTTGGGGGGGCGGTGGTATGCGCCACATAAATCGGGAAGTACCATCCTGTGCGCCGCAAAGGCCGATCGCGCCCGACGGTGGGGCGGCTCACCGCACACACACAGTTGCGAGGCCGAGCCCGCCGGGCGCGTAGAGCCGAGTGGCCGGGGGGGAGGCGGACCAGGGAAACCGCGCGCGGCAGTGCGAGGTGGCATGTGGCGCGGTCACGGCGGGGGAGACGGCGCGGTGCTAGGGGCGCGGAGCGCACATTGTAGCGCAGAAAAGGGCCTTATCAGTGGGGTAAACGGACCAAGGCCCAGCCGCACCGTGCCGCCCCCCCGCGAGCAACATCGTGTCACCGACGACCGCGCTCTGCGTCTCCGAGGGGGGGAGGGGAGCAAGGGGGCGGGGGGATCGGGGCGGTGGGGAGGGATCTCGGTTTCGTGTGGCTAAGACTTGCCTTTCGGGGAGGGGCCTCGGTTGGAAGGCGCGCAAGCACGCCCTACGTCTTCCCCTCCTCCCCACAGAGGCAGCGAGTAGGCAGCGAGGGGAGCACTCGAGCGCCTACGCGTATGGCGATGTGAGTGGGCGGTCGGGAGCGAAACGGACCTCGCCAGCTTCACCGCTCTCGTCCGCTACCTCCTCACCGACCAGCTCGACCTCGGCGAGGGGGAGGGCGAGCAGGCGCGGCGAGCGCTCGACCTGCGGGAGCTGGCGCAAAAGTACCAGGTGCCGCGCCTCGAGCTGCGCTCTCTCTCTGCGCGCATGCGCTGCAGGAGAGCGTCGGGCCGGCGACCGCCGTGCCGCTGCTCGAGGCGGCGCACGACGGGCGACGGGCGGCTCCTCGCGCAGTGCCGCCGCTTCGTGGCCGACCACGCCGCCGAGGTGCGCGCGAGCGGCGGCGTGGAGGCTGGAGCAGCGGTGTAGGTGGGCGGCTCTACCGCCTACGGCTTTAGCCCGGTGTTTACTTTTAGCCCGGTCCGCTCCTTCTTGAACGTATAAGCGGCCCAACCGCCACGTGCCTTGTCGAGGGGGAGGCCACACTCTAAACTCTCCACATTCCACTCTTATACTACCATCGACTACTTCAGTCAGTACCACTACTCAACCACGCTCCAGCACACACGCCAGCTGGAAGATTAGAGAACCGCGGCGTATTTGCGCTTCCGTTGAGCCGCCGCCAGCCGGGTCCGATCACATTCGAGACGAGTGCGACCAGAGGCGAGCCCTTGTCGTCGGCCGCGGGGTCGCGAAGCTCCAGCATAAAGCGGCCACGGGCGACGAAGAAGCAGACTGCCACAGTGCCTCGTACGTACTTGTCCGGCCGGTGCGAGTGTAAGTCGACGACCAAATGAGGCTCGATCGACAACGATTCCTGCAGATATGGCGGCGCGGAGTCAGGATCGCTCAGACGCTGTGCGCTGCCGCTCCAGGGCCCCGCTGACGGTCGCCTCTTGCGAGAGAAGCGTCACAAAGTGTCCACCACCGTCGTACACGATCGCTGCCGCATCGCTTGCCACGGCATAGGGCATAAAGTCAACTGGCGTATCTCCATACCAGAAAGAGAAAGGCGCCGCCAAGATCGTTGCTGCGGCGTAAGTGAGCGTCGCCTATACCGACATTATGGCGTGTGTCCCGAGCACAGCAGCACCAAAGGAGAATGGCGCCGTGAAGATCGTTGATGGGAAGGCTGGCCTCGAGGAGCAGCTTGCCTGCCGCCACCCTCGCCGGCGGGTTGGCCTCACCCCCCTTCTTCTCCAGCGCGCGCAGCGCCGCCTCGAGCGTCGCCTCCGCCGCCTCGAGCGTCGCCTCCGCCGCCTGCTCCGCGGCCGCCGCCGCAGTGTACGCGGCGAAGGCCGTTTCGAAGGACGCTGAGCGGCGGGTGCTCCTTCGCCGCTTGCTCGCGCGCAGCCGCACGCCGGCGCTCCAGCTTGGAGGAGGCGCGGCTCTTGGCGCTGCCCGCCTTGCGGCCCGCGGGTGACGCCTCCGCCGCACCCGCAGAGCCGGTAGTGAAGCCGCCCGAGCAGCCGCCGCCACCCTGCGGCGTGTGGGGCTGCGAAGGCTCGTGGAGGGGAGGCCGCCACTCGCCGCCCGCCGCTCCGGCATGGCGGACCTGTGGTGCCACCGCACCCCCCCCGCTCGCCACAAAGTCTGAGCCACCGAATGGCTGCCCCGGTGGGCCGGGCATGAGCCCCAGCGCGGCGGCGGCGGAGGACGAGGATGGTGTGGTGGGAGCTCCGCGAAGCACGCGTGAGCGGTGGCGTTGCGCGCGGCGGCCTGACGAGCCGCCAAGGGCCGGCCCCTCCGCTCCCAACGTGAAGAGCATATTGTCTGCCGATCCGGCGCTGGCGGACCGCGCCGCGCCGTCCGGGCCGTAAGAGCCGAGCCTGGTCTGGGCCCGCTCCAGCCAGCCGTAGAGGCGGGGGCAGCAGCGCTTGCAGGCGAGAGCCAGGTCCACCGCCCCGTACCAGCGCATCCTTGCAGGCCGGCGGCGGAGGTAATAGCGGGAGCGGTGTCTGCACGGCGTCTCCACACGAGGCGTCAGGAAGAGATGTGTCCCTGGTGTTTATGTGAACGGAGGGACACGCGTGATTCGGAGGGTGCGCGCCAGTCCCGTTCCAGGTGTCGTATTTGGAGCCTTGGTAAAATTGTTTGGGAAATTCTTTCTCACACGACACTGGGCACGGGCTCGACTTTCGCTCTCACCTGGCAACCCTGTCTGCACGTCTCGCGCGCGCGTGAACAGGGCTCCAGGCCCCAAATGACGTGTGAGTGTTAGAGTTGTTTGGTATTTCTAAAAATCTCTCTCTCTCGGGCTCGATGAGGTGACTTGGACCACCAAGAATTGGCTGGGGCTGCAGTTGAAGGCTTGAAGCAGCGTATCTCGGTCGTTCTTCACACGGCAATCGCAGAGCAGATGGTCAATGAATGGGGTTTGTGGAGCGTCCAGGGATGTCCAGAAGGTCCAGAAGGTGTCCAGAAGATGTCCAGAAGGTGTCCAGAAGATGTCCAGAAGGTGTCCAGAAGGTTGGAAAAGAATGTGGGAACGTCTAGAGGGTCCTCTGCATCGAAGGCCTTGCCGGCGAAAGGCGTTGAGGCGGAGACGAGGCGCGCGGCTTCGCGGTTGTTGACGGCGAAGGCGTTGAGGCGGAGACGAGGCGCGCGGCTTCGCGGTTGTTGACGGCGCTGTCTCCGAGGGACGGGTAGTTCTTGACGTGTACATCCCGCGCCTTGACGAGCTCCTTCCTGGTGCGCGAACCAGTCCTTGTGATTCTTGATGGCAGCGAGCGCCCGCGGCCGCGGGTACGTGGATTTGCAAGTGCCATTGAGAATCGCGTCGGTAGCTGGAAGGGACTCGGGCTCGGGGAGCGGGACGCTCTTGGGGTAGAACTCAGTCAAGTTGTTCCCAATCAGCCAAAACTGTTTGTTTCGACCGGGGTGCAATCCGTGAATGTTTCCAGCTCAGGCACGCAGAAAGTGAAGGCTACAGCATCCTCGCAGCTTACGTCATGAGGTACGAACAGTATGCTAAGAGAGAGAGACCCCCGAGACGGCAAAGGAGCCCGAACCCAGGTCGAAAAGCGCCGATATGGTGGCCTCACCATCCCCCGACGATGTGGCTCCATCGCCGGCAGCGCCGGCTCCTCCTCCGCCGGAGACACCGCCGGTCCAGCCAACGGCCGTCCGGATGGTCGACCACCTCTTGCAGTCGGCCAACGGTGGCGGCGGCGTCCGCTTGCTCCGCCGCTCCGCCGTGCACCAGGCCATCTCGCTCATCGGCTACCTGGAGGTGCCTGATGCCAAGGCGGACGCGCTGCGCCGGCTGCGCGACCTGCTTCGTCGCTCCGTCTTCAACTTGTGGACGTGCACCGTCGGCGGGCTGCGCACGACGTCGGTCCTGCTCGGCTGGCTCACGCCACCGCCCGGCAGTGCCGAGGTGCTCGACGAGGTGCTCGCGCTGCTGGCGACGCTCGGCTCCCACGCCGCCACCTCGGACGAGGTCTGCACCCTCCTCGGCCTCGCGCGCCAGTCGATCGAGCGAGGCGGCGCGGCGGCGCTGCCCCGGCCTCAGCAGCTCCTCGACTTGCTGGTGGCGTGGTGCGGCGGCGGCGGCGGCGAGGGCGAGGGTGGCGGCGCGGGCGGCGGCGGCGGCGGCGGCGGCGAGGGCGGCGGCGGCGGCGGCGGCGGCGGCGGCGGCGGCGGCGGCGGCGGCGGGCGCGGCGGCGGCGGCGGCGGCGGCGGCGGCGAGGCAGCCCCGCCCGTCGCGCCTCGCCAAGTCTTTGACCTGGACGGGTGGGGGTCCGGGCTCGCTCTGCCAGCCGAGCTGACCGCCTCCCTCCTTGCGCAAGACTTTGCCTTTGGCTGCTGGCTGCGCGTCGAGGTGGGCGCTGCGGATGACTGCGTGCTCTTTGCGCTGCACCGCGGTGCGCGCCCGCCGGCCGGCGAGGCGGCGCCGCCGCCGCCGACGACGCCCGAGGGGATGACGGTGAAGCTGCGCGTGGCGCGGCAGCAGCTGCTCATCATCCTGCACGGCGGAGAGCAGGGCAAGCTGCGCCGTTCGCTGCCGCAGCAGGCCAACCTCGCCGTCTCCGTGCAGCCCGGCCGATGGCACCTCCTCCTCGTCTCCTTCCGGCGGAGGCCGATGCTGCGCGGCGGCGGTGCGGAGGCGTTCGCAGTGCTGGATGGGCGGCGGACGCCGCCCGTCGCGTGCGCCTTCCCCGCCCTCCCGCCCGCCGCCGCCGCCGCCGCCGCCGCCGCCGCCGCGCCGTTTCGCTTGCGCGTCGGCTCTCCGGAGCCGCTCGGCGCTCCCGAGGACGGCGCGTCCTCCCTTCCGTCCGGCGTGGCGGCGGGCTTCACTGGGCAGGTTGGCCCCGTCTTCTGCCTGCAGGGGTCGCCCACTGACGCCGAGGCCGCCGCGATGTGGCGCGCGGGTCCGAGCTGCGCCCTGCCCGCCGCCGCGCTCGCCGCCGCCGCCGCTGGCTCCCGCGTGCTGAGCACCTCGCTGGCGTCGACGCGGCCTTGCCGCCTCGCCGCCTTCTACCCCCCCGCCGCGGCGAGCCAGGGCGCGTGCGGCGACGTCGGGCCGGCGAGGTGTCGGCCGTTGGCTCTGGGCGGCGGCGTCACGTTGCTGCGCCCGCGCCTGATCGGGACCGCCCTCGGAGGGCCGCTCCCCATCCTTCCGCTCCTGCACTTGCTGCGCGCCGGCGGGGGAGCACCCTCCCCCGTCCCGTGCACTCGCTCGCTGTCCGCGTCCGCCGCCGCCGCGCAGAAGCACTTGCAGAGGAGCCGGAGCCGAGACAAGGGCGCGGAGGCGTGGTCGGCAGCAGGCGCCGACGCGATCGCGGCGCGCGTGATCGCCGCGCTCACGGCGGCCCTGTCTGGCGGAGAGCTGATGGCGGTGGAGCTGGAGCAGAGCGGCGGCGTGCCTATGCTCGCGCACCTGCTGCGCGAGGCGTCGCCGCGCATCTTGACGGAGGAGACGCTCGACGCGCTCGCGGCACTCGAGCGGGCGCTGGCGCCGCACGAGGCGCTGTCCGACGCGCTGCTCCTGCACCTCCTTCTCGACATGAGGCTGTGGCGTCGCGCGGCCCCGCGCGTGCTGCCCCTTGTGATGCGGCTGCTGCGCACCTCCGCAGGGGCGGCGCCCCGCCAGTGGGTACGCACCGGCGCGGTGGGCGTGCTGGTCGAGAACCTCCTCGAGGCGAGGGCCGCCCCCTCGCTGTGCCAGCTGGCCGACCCCGCACCGCCCGAAGACGACGAGTCGGCCTGGCAGCGCCGCGCCTGGGCCCTCGCGATGGACGTGCTTGCGGCGGCGGCGGAGACGGCCGTTGGCCTGCCGCGCGCGGCGTTGGGGTACGTGGTGCATGCCGTGGTGTCGAGCGGGGACGCCGTGCCCCGCGCGGCGCTGCTGCGCATGCTGCTCGCCCTCTCCTTCTCGCCCGACCTCCGCACGATCAGCGCTTTGCTCGCGGGACCGGTGCCCGACCTGCCCCGCCGCGCCGCCCTCGACTTGGGCCTCGTCAGCGGGGGAGGAGGAGGAGGAGGAGGAGGCGACGAAGGCGGCGGCGGCGGCGGTCCAAGCTGGAGCCTGCTGAGCTGCCTGCTGCCGCTGCTGCCGAGCGCGCCGGCGGAGCAGGAGCCGGAGGTGACGCAGCTCCTGGTGCGACTCATCTCGCGCGTGCTCGCGCTCGCGCGCTCCGCCCCGGACCCCGAGGCGCGGGCGGCGGCCGCGGCGTGGGCCGCAGAGACGTGGGAGGCGGGGGGCTGGGCGTGGCTCAGTGAGCGCGTGGCGACAGCGTGCCCCGACGAGGCGCTGCTTGACGCCCTCACGCAGCTCGTCCTCGGCTCGAGCGCGCCGGGTTGGGCAGACGGACGCGTCGCGCCGGCCGCGGCTGCCGAGGCGGGCGCGGGCGCGCCACCGCTCGTGGCTCGCGTCGACGATCACATCAGCCTCGCTGACGACGCGGCGGGCCGCTTCGCGCACCCCGAGGCGCTCCCGCCGCTGCTCGGGCTGGGCGTCGGCTCGTCGGCTGTGCTGCAGGCGACCCTGCTGCAGTCGCTCTTTCCTAGACCTTTCCTGGACCTTTCCTGGACCCTTCCTGCAGGCGACCCTGCTGCAGTCGCTCTCGCTCTGGCTCCGCCGGTCGGAGGACGGCGACAACCAGCGCGCGCTCGCGGCGCAGCTGGGGTGGGAGCAGCCCGTCTGCGCCATCCTCAACCAGACGCGCGCCGCCACGTCGCCGGACGGCCGCGCGTGCCACGCTCTCTGCTCGCAGCTGCTGGTCGATTTTGTGCTCTGCTCGCTGCGCCGGCCGGGAGGCTGGCCCGACACGATGCGCACCCTCACCACGCTCGAGCTCTACACCGCCGAGCCGAGCGCCTCCAAGCGGCAGCTCCTCGCCACCGTCCTCGAGACCCTCCGCCCCGCGCTGCCCGCCAGCCTCGCCGCGCTGGTCGCGGCCCCGCTCGAGGGGGGCGCGCGCGAGGGGCCGCGGGTCGACCCGCTCTGGAGCAACCTTGTGCGGCTAGCCTCCCTCGTGCACGCCACCGTCCTCGAGGCGGGCGCCGCCGCGCAGGCGGGAGGCCGCGCGCGCGCCGGCTCCGGCGCGGCGGGCGGCGGGCACGGCCGGCTGGGCGCTGCGGCCGCCACCGGGTCGGCGCTGCTGCACCGGCTCGGCGGGGCGATGGCTCAAGGACTGAGTGCGGTCAAACCGTCACCCTCGCAGCCGGCCGTCAAGCGCGACGCGTCCGCAGAGTCGCCATCGGGTCCTTGGCGCCGCCTCCAGACCAACGCGGAGCTGTCGGCGGCGGTGAGCGGCGCGCCGAAGGCTCGCCTCTCCCCGCCGCCGCGTGCCGCCGCCGACGTCGAGGCGAGGCGGAGTCCTAGACCTTTCCTAGACCGTTCCTGGACCTTTCGTGGACCCTTCCTGTAGGCGAGCTCCGAGGCGGGGTCCGAGGTTAGCTGCAGCGAGGTTAGCTTCAGCGAGGCCGCCGGCGGGGTGAGAGGCGCCGCCGGCACCGGTGCTGCGTCGCCGTCGCCGTCCGCCGCAGTGTCGCCGCCGGCCACTGCTGCGGCGGCGCTCGACTCCACTCTCTCCCGCGACAGCGACGGGCGGTGGGCCGACGCGGGCCTGGCTCTGGCGCTGCTGCGCTGGCTCGACGCGCTGGTCGTGCACGCGATGGTCGAGCCGGCGGCCACTGTGTTGGTTCACTCGACCGCCGCCGAGCTGGCGCCACACGCCGGGGCGGACAGCGGCGGGAGTGGCGGCGGCGAGGGGGGCGGCGCCACGTTTTGCGAGGTTGCGCTGGCGATGCAGCTGCTGCTGCTCCAGGAGGGGGGCGGCGCCCAGCCGGCGGACGGGGGTGCCGCAGATGGGGGAGCGGGGCCGCTCGAGCCCGCACGCCAGCTCGACGAGCTGCTAACTCGCGCGGCTGTCTGGTGCGAGAGGCCCTTTCTCGAGCCGTCTCCTCAGCAGCAGCCGTCGCGGGGCACGCCCACTCTCTCCTCACGCGGCGGCTCTCTCCTCTCCGGCCGCGACCCCTCGACGCGCGTCGGTAGCTTCGAGTCGACCGGGAGCGGGCAGGACTCCGCGGCGGAGGCGGCGGGGACGTGGCAGCTGCGGCAGCTCGGCCGCGCGATCGGCCGGCTCCTCCACGCCCTCTGGCCTCCCGCCGGCATGCCGCCGCCGCCCGCGGCGGTGACGTCTGCCGCGGGGCCCGCGCTGCAGGCGCTGCTGGGCGCGGCGTGTCGGCTGATGGGTATCGGCCGGCCGCCGCCGACGCTGCGCGCCGGCGTGGCAGCCGAGACCTTTCTCGAGGCCAAGGAGTCGTGGCTGTGGCTGCTCGCCCAGGAGCCGCTCGCCGAGGCGCTCGAGGGGCTGTCGCTCGGCCGCTCGGCCGCACTCGAGGCGGCACTCGCGCGCCAGTCGCGGCAGGACGCCCTCGTCACGGCCACCGAGGCGCGGCAGCGCGACGTGCGCCGGCAGGTGGAGAGGCTAGACCTTTCCTGGACCTTTCCTATTTCCTGGACCTCTCCCAGACCTTTCCCAGACTTTCCTAGACCTTTCCTAGACCTCTCCCAGACCTTTCCTAGACCTTTCCTGGACCTTTCCTGGACCTTTCCTAGACCTTTCCTAGACCTCTCCCAGACCTTTCCTAGACCTCTCCTAGCGCCGGCAGGTGGAGAGTCTCGCCGGCGAGGCGTCGGCGTCGAGCCGCGCACTCTCTTCCGAGATGAGTACCCGCGCCGCGATCTCGCGCGCGTCGCGCGCCCGCCGGCGCAAGGCGGCCGCCGCGGCGTGGGCGCGCACATGGGGCGAGCTCCGGCTCTCGAGCTCTGTCTGGAGCGCGGACGGCGACGGCGAGGCGCCCCCAGCGCACCTCCTCCGCGTGTGCGACCAGACCGACAGCCGCTCGCGGCGCATGCTCCTGCTGCCCGGCGAGCCCGCTCCGGACACACCGCCAGACTCGCCGCGCCGCGCGGACGCGGGGGACGGGGGCGGCGCCGGCGGCGCGACGAGCGGGGCTAGCCGATGGAGCGCGCTGCAGGCGTCCGCGACGTCGGCTGAGGTTGCGGCGACCGCGGCCGGCGGCGGCGGCGGCGCGGCGGCCGACGGCGGCGGCGCAGCGGCGACCCCGTACCTGCGCATCCTCGGCGCCGTGCGCGCGTTCAAGTCGATGGGCTCGAGCGTCGTGAGCAGCGTGAGCGGAGAGAGTCCGGCGGTGGCGGCGGCCGAGGAGGAGGAGGAGGAGGGCGAGGAGGAGGGCGAGGCGGCGGCCGAGGCGGAGGCGGTGGCGCTCGAGGGCGATTCGCAAGTCTTCTCGCTCGAGGCGGCCCTCCGGCCCCGGCCGCGCGCACACCCACGGTTGCGCTCAGAGCCTGAACTGGGCTGGCGCAACCCTCTAGGCGGACCTCGTGCGGCCACACGGGCTGCTTCCCGGCCGCCTCTACCTCTCCGACTCGAAGCTGCGCTTCATCAGCTCGGGCGAGGCGCCGAGCCGCGTCGCCGGCGCGGCCGGCAGCCCGGCGCGTGCAGCGCGCTGAGAAGGGAGTCCCTTCACAGCCGCCTCACCGTGAACAGGCGCCCCGGCGTGCAGCGAGCAGGTGGCGCGCGATGCAGCCCTGTCGTGGCCGCTCTCGTCGGTGGCGCAGATGCAGCGGCGGCGCTACCTAATGGTGCACACGGCGCTGGAGCTCCTCGACGACGACGGCGACTCGATCCTGCTCAACTTCCGGACGAAGCGCTCGCGCACGCAGGTGCGCTCGTGGATCAAGCGCAAGTGCTCGCTCACGTACCGCGACCGCGACCGGTCGGCGCGGACCGCGTTTGGCAAGATGCTCTCCGAGCTGCAGGAGGCGTGGCAGCGGCGCGAGCTCTCCAACTTCGACTACCTCATGAAGCTCAACGAGATGGCGGGCCGCTCGTACAACGACCTCAACCAGTACCCGGTCCTGCCGTGGGTGCTCTCCGACTTTCCTAGACCTTTCCTAGACCTTTCCTGGACCTTTCCTAGGTCCTGCCGTGGGTGCTCTCCGACTACGCCTCGCCCACGCTCAACCTGGCCGACCCGGCCGTCTTCCGCGACCTCTCCAAGCCGATGGGGGCGCAGGACCCGGCGCAGGCCGATCTGGTCCGCCAGACCTACGAGCTGTTTGACGACCCGGACATCCCCCGCTTCCACTACGGCTCGCACTACTCGACGACGGGCACCTTCTAGGAACCTTCTAGGAACCTTCTAGGAACCTTCTAGGCTCTCACTACTCGACGATGGGGTTCGTGCTCTACTACCTGCTCCGCCTCGAGCCCTTCACCTCGCACCACAAGGCGCTGCAGTCGGGCCGCTTTGACCACGCGGACCGGCTCTTCCACTCGCTCGGCCAGACGTGCCGCTCCTGCACGCACGCGTCCACCGACCTTTCCCAGACCTTTCCTAGACCTTTCCTGGACCTTTCCTAGGTACCACTCCTGCACGCACTCGTCCTCCGACGTCAAGGAGCTCGTCCCCGAGCTCTTCTGCCTCCCCGACGTGCTGCTCAACCGCAACGGCCTCTCGCTCGGCACGCGGCAGGACGGACAAGCCGTCGACGACGTGCGGCTGCCGCCGTGGGCTTCGGACGCCGTCGACTTCGTCGCAAAGCACCGCGCGGCCCTCGAGTGCGACCACGTGTCCGAGCGGCTGCACCAGTGGGTCGACCTCATCTTTGGCGCCAAGCAGCGCGGCCCGGCGGCGGCCGGCGCGCTCAACGTCTTCTTCTACCTGACCTACGAGGGGACGGTCGACCTGTCGGGCCTTTCGTCCGCCGAGGGGCGGCGCGCGCTGCAGGCGCAGATCAAAAACTTTGGGCAGACGCCGCCGCAGCTCTTCACATCGCCGCACCCGAGACGGCGGCCCGCCCCGCCGCCGCCGCCGCTCGGCGCGTGGCCGATCTGCGACCCGACCCCCGTGCGTCCCGTCGGGGCGCTGCGCGTGCCTTCGGTGCCGGCGGCGCTGCACAGCGGCGGCGACGACTCCTTCCTTCTGCTCGACATGGAGCGGCAGCTCACGCTCTACCGCGGACCGGTCGGCGAGGGCGCGCGTGCGAGCGCCATCGGCGACGTCGCCGCCCTGCCCGCGTTTGCGCCGGGCGTGACCATCGCTCGCGCCGTCTGCCTCGCCGCCACTGACGGCCAACCGTCCAAGGCGTGGCTCGCCTCGGGGGGGCACTGGGACGGCTCGCTCTGCCTGAGCACCGCGCACGGGGGCGGAGGGCTGCGCCTCCGACTCGCCGTCCACTCGGAGACCGTCACGTGCGTCGCGCTCAGCCGCTGCGCCCGCTACGTCCTCTCGGGCTCGCTCGACGCCACGGCGCTGCTGTGGGACTTTGGCAGGGCCGGGCTCGCGGGGCTCGCCGCGCCCGGCGCCGAGGCCTCGCCCCGACCGTCGCACGTGCTGCGAGGCCACGGCGGCGACGTGCTCTGCGTCGCCGTCTCGTCCGTCCTCCGGGTCTGCGCCGTCGCGTCGCGCGACGGGCACGCGTGCCTCTACCTGCTACGCGACGGGCGGCGCGTGCGGACCTTCACCTCGCCCGACGCGACGCCGATCGACGCGGTGCTCCTCTCGGACGCCGGGTACGTGCTGCTCAGCAGCTCGGCGGCCACCGCGCTGCACCTCTTCGCCCTCAACGGGCAGCGCGTCTGGTCGGCCCGGCTCGACGGCGGCGTCTCGTGCCTCTCCCTCTCGCCGTGCCACAACGCCTTGCTGCTCGGGCTCGACACGGGCGACGTGCTGGCGTGGGCGCTCTTTGACCGCACGCCGCTCATCACCTACGAAGCCTGCCCCGGGCCCGTCGTCTGCCTCGCCGTCTCCGAGGCCCACCTGCTGGTGGCGACGAGCACCCGCCACGTGCTCAAGTACCCGCCGCCGCCGCAGGCGGGACTGCTCACCCCGGGGCTGGTCGTCGCGAGGCCGCCGCGGTGAGGGGTGAGCGGCGGCTGCTGCTAAGTACGTTATGTGATCTCGAGCTGTACCGTACTGTGCGACACCTGCTGTGGGCGGGGTTGGCCGTCTACGTACGTGTTTATTTTCGGCAACTCCGAGCGCGGGCCTACAACAAGCGCCAACTCCTCTTTATGCTTAAATTTTTCGCGCACGCCGCGGGCGCGGCTGGGTGGCCCTTTTGAGGCCAGACTGCACCAGAGACCAGTCTCCAGACTCCACAGAGACCTGCACTTGTGCACAGCTAGCTGCCGTCGGCATAAACACGCGCGTCGGCACTCCCACTGCTCTCTGCTGACTCATTCCCCGCCACACTGTGCCTCGAGTCACACTCCCTGGCAGGTCGCCCTCACTCCTCTGTCCTCTCTTGTCTCTATAGATCTCACCTCATTGACTCTCGCATCCCGAGGCTCGCGTCGCTCCCCCGCAGCGGCGACACCGCGCGGGGCATGGGCTCGCCGCACGTGTGCGACACCCGCGGCTCCGGCAGACTCACCCGCAGCTCACCCGAGCTGCCCGCCTCGCTCGTGACGCCTCGCCCGTCGCTGCCCTTCCACGCGGCAAAGCGCCCGCGGAAGAGGTCGTGCTTGACCGCAGAACCCGACGAATCGTACACCTTGTGCCCTCCCGCAACCCTAGCGGCGCCCGTCTCGGACGGCGGCACGCGCTGCTCGCCACCCGAGAGCGCCGCCTTGATTAGCTCGTCAATCGCGTCACCCTGGGCCTCGCGGCGGGGCTCTCTCCGGGGCGCGGCGCTCGCCGGCCTTCGCTTGACCGCAGAGCGGCTGCGGGCCGGCCGCCGCTCCGGCGGCGCGACGGCGGGGGCGGCGGTGGGCCACAGCCGCGGCGGTGGTTCCGGTGCTGGCGCCGGCGGCTCGGCGGGGGCTGGCACCGAGTAGCTGCGCGTCGAGAGCAGCTCCGTCTGGACGCGTTGCGGCTCCGGCGCGCGCACCCTCTCGGTGCGCGGCGTGGTCTGGTACGTCTCGCGCGGCACGGTGTACGAGCGGAAGCCTGGCTGCGGCGTTGTGTTGCTAAAGGACTGCGAGCTCGACGGGATGGAGACGGTCCTCGAGTGGTCGACGTGCACGATGTCGGGGGTCAGGTACCGTGGCACCTCCACCTCCTTGACCACCTCGCGGTCCGTCCATTTGACCACCTCGACGGGCACCTCCTGGATCTTGACCACCTCGACCGGCACCTCGCGCACCACGTCGCGCGGCACCTCCTTGATCACCTGGTCGACGGGCACCTCCTTGATCACCTCCTGGATGATGACCTTGTCGACGGGCACCTGCTTCTCCACCACCACCTCGCGGATCACCTCGATCGGCACCTCCTTGATAACCTCCTTGACGATCTCGATCGGCTTCTCGACGATGACCTCGACAATTCGGTCGACAAACACCTCCTTCGGCACCTCGACGGGCACCTCCTTGACGACCTCGGTGACGACCTCCTGCACGACTGGCACCTCCTTCTCCCGGATCACCTCCACCACCACCTCGCGGATCGTCTCGTACGGCACCTCCACCAGCTTCTCCACCTCCCTGACCACCTCCACCTCCTTGATCACCTCGTACGGCACGCCGCGGAACACCTCCTTGACAATCTCGACGGGCTTCTCGACGATGACCTCGACAACCTTCTCGACGATGCGCTCCACCTCCTTTTCGATCACCACCTCTTTCACCACCTCCACCTCTTTGATCACCTCCTTCTCAACCACCTGCGTCACCGGCTTCTCAACGACGCGCACCTGCTCCAGCACCACCTCCTTGACAATCGGCACCTCGACCACCTTGACCACTTCGACCACCTTGGGCACCTCTTTGATGACGTCCACAAACACCTCCTTTATGACATCGCGGTACACAATCTTCTCCACCTCCTTGATCACCTCGATGGGCACCTCTCTGATCACCTCCACCGGCACCGAAACCATCTTTGGTACCTCGCGCACCACCTCCTTGATCACCTCCTCCTTGACCTGCACCGTCTGGATCTGCCCGAGCGGCGCGTCATGCTCCTCAGGCCGGCCCTTGAGCACCATCTGCGGCGGTGGGAGGGATGGCCCCTCATAGTCTCGCCCTCACGGCCAAGGGAGCGTGTGCTGTCGAGCTGAGGACAGCACGGTGAAGGCAGAGGGTGGGATGGCGGCGGCGCGCCGTCGTCCCGCCGTGCTGCGATCCTGCAGGGCCCCCACCCGACACCCACGCCCCGGCAGCGGCCGGTACCGCAGCCGTTCCCGCGGGGGTGGCGCCAAATGAGGCGTCGCCAAAGGCAGCGGAGGTTTGGCCGGCTGCTTTGACTGGCGAAGCGGGTCCCGACGAGTCTGACGGCGCAGCCGCCGCCTTGGACATCTCTGCATCCTCTCGCCTAGACCGCTCGCGCTGCAGCAGCGAGTTTTGCACCGCCTGCTCCTCCTCCGTTAGCTCCTGCGGGCAGAGCACGCGTCGTGCTCGGGGACAGGCTGCCGGCAGGCTCCTTGCCGGGGTGGAGCTGCGCTGCACTGCGACGGGGGCTGGTGCGGGTGGCGAGCGGGGCGAAGCTCACCATAGTCTGTAACGGCTGAGAGTATACAGTTGTTCCTCATTTGGGGACGCGCGTAGAAAAAAGTAAATTCTCACCGCTCCGTCACAGGTAACAAGCTCTGCTCTTGACGTATGCTAGGTCTCCAGGAGGGTTCAGGAATGACTCATTCGAACACGTAAGTTTCGACCCCCCTGCACCAATGCTGTGTCCGCGGTATTTGCGGCAAAGAGCAAAACCATCCATGTTCTCGCCATCGCCTCCACCGCCGACGCCACCGCGGTCTCCTCTTCCACTGCCGCCTTTTCCGGAACCGGGGATCCGCCGCCTATCCCGCCCTTCATGCCCGACGAGGCTCCACTGCCGCCGCAACCTTTGCCACCGCTGCTGCCGCTGGCCACTGTTAGAGGGCCCACAGCGTCCTAATCTAAAATCTGAGGATTGAGGATTCAGCCTTCGCTTTAGTGAGGCCAAAGTGAGTTTATGGATGGGTGAGAACGATGCGCGACACGAGGAGGCACACGCACCGACTCGTCGGCGACTCTGCTGCACGCCGTTTCAGAATTTTTCTCAGCGTGAGCGAGACGTGGAAGAGTGCCACCGTCGGGTAGGACGGGTCGGCCCGGCGCATCGGAGTAGCCGTCGTGGTCGCGGCGAGCAGCGCCGGCCACTCCGGCGCCGCGTCGGCAACGTGGGAGCATGTCCACCGCCACTTCGCGGTCGCAGCGCTGTTTGTCGCCCAAAACGCCGCCTATCCCTCTGGCGGGCCAAAGATCGCCTCGCATGTCGATTTTGACTCGACGGGGGCATGGAGGCATCACGTCTCCATGCCCCCGTCAAGTCGGAGCCAGTCTGCGGCGACCACAGCGCTCACCGCAGGGATAGGCGAGCTTTTCAGAGTCAAGCGATTGCGCGAAATCCCACACTGGTGGATTTTGGGGCGCTGTGGCCCCCCTACCACTGTGTACTCCATCTCCACAACACCGGGAAATCATCCAGATGAGGTGAGCTGGGACCTCCGCTGCGGCTCGACTCCGGGGGAGCCATATGGTAGCGTCCTAAGGTAAGATATGTATTATTCCTAAGGTAAACTTCTCCACACACAAGGTGGTGGGGCGCGATTTTGTTTATCTGGGAGCGAGACTTCCAGCACGTTCCAGTTTGCGGTGCAGTGCTCCTCTTGCGTCCCGTATATTTGCCCTTTGCAGGAAGGGGACGCTCGTGACAATACATTGAAAAACGCAACTCTGTCACCGACACTGTGGTCCGCCACAGGTCCGTCACAGGTCCGTCACAGGTCCGTCACAGGTACCAAGCCCTGCTCTCGACGTATGCTAGGCTCTCCATACTCCGACGGTGGATCCATGCTGGAGGCTCGACGGAGCGATCGAGTCGTCATCGATCGCAGGAGATCCGGACGGAGGTCGCGATTGTCCTCCACCGGTTTTTCGGCAAGCCTGCTCCTCTCGGCGCGGTCGTCGGCCCCGGCCCGGCGGCAGACATACGCACTGAAGGCGAGTAGGAGCATACTGGAAGGCATAAACACAGCGACTGGCACGAGCCAGCTGGGCTGCCGGGAGTACGGCGACCCACCGAACTTCCACGGTTTCCGCCCTAGCAGCAGGAACAAGCTAGGGCGGCCCTCGGCGTTGCGAAATATGTTCCACTTGTTGAGCAGGAAACCAAGGTCCGTGACGATGCTGCTGTTGTCCATCACGATCCGGAGGACCTCATCACGCTGTGCTGTCGGCACGATGGTCACCTTCAACTTGGTGTCGCTGGACCAACCAAGGTCCTCGACGGCAATCTGGTCTGCAGTGATGTTTGCTTCAGGCGCGGCATCGGCGAAGGAATCGAGCAGGGCGGCCTTGATGCGGTCGACGAGGGTGGAACCTTGACCCTCGAGCGCGGTGGCCAGCAGCTGACGTGCCGGTTCCGGTGAGGGCGGAAGCGAGGGCGGAGGCGGCGAGGGCGGAGGCGGCGAGGGCGGTGGCGGCGAGGGCGGAGGCGGCGAGGGCGGAGGCGGCGAGGGCGGAGGCGGCGAGGGCGGAGGCGGCGAGGGAGGCGGCGGAACGGCGAAGCCGATGGCGAGCACAAGAGCAGTGATCATTCCCGCTCAGCACTCACCGTGCGCCGCACACCCTTGATGTGATGATGTGCCTTGCGGCTTGATGTGAGACACCCTTGATGTGAGTGATGTGTGGCACTGTTGGTGCGAGAGAGTGCGAGCCGCTGGGCGAGCCGCCTTCCCGCATCCACACCTGTATGTCTTTTTTTCTGTGTTCGGTGGGCTCTGCTCCTGTGGTGGGGGCGACGGCTTCTGAGGAAGCCGTCGCCCGCGCCTTGCCTGTCGCGTGAATCGTGCTGTGCGACCGCTTTTTTCCGTAAAATTCCTTTTCCCGATTGTCCGTTTGGGGCACGGTGGTCCGCAAGAGTTGTTTGGTATTGCTAAAAATCTCTCTCTCGGTCCGCGGACCGAGCGGCTTTCTTTCGGGAATTCGGTTTCCCCTCTCTCTCGCCTTTTTGTCTGTTCGTTCGAATCTCGGCCTCTGCCATTCTTTTGTTGTGTAAAAATTCTTTTGTTTGTGTTAGTGCCAGTGCGCGCCAGTCCCGTGCCTAACTAGTGTCGTGAGAGAGAGACTCAGGGGCTGTACTATCGGCAAGCGCAGCCTCCTAGCGCGCTTCAAGAGAAGCAAGGCCTCAGCTTGTCCCACTCCGCGTCGACGATCCAGGCCATCATGTCGGCGAGCAGATTTGTCTGCAGCGGCGTGAACTCCATCAGGCCCTTGTTCTGCCCAAGCGTCGCAAAGGTGGGAAAGTTACCCGGCGTGTTGACGCTGTCCACCTCGCCGTTGAGCACGGCCTCGAGGGTCGCCGGCGGCACCTTCTCCAGCCACTGGCGAGGCGCTTGGTTCCAAATGACGGTGTAGTTGCACGTGTACGGCACGACCCCGTGGAAGGTGTTGGCGTGCACCTGGCCGGCGAGGTGGTGCGTGGGTGAGTAGAAGCGACAGCGGTGGACGGGAGAGGGAGGAGGAGAGTGTTGCATGGGGTCGGAGCGCAAACGGGAGATACTGGGGAGTGAGGTAGGGATGTCGGCGAGCGCACCTCCACGTTCTCGAGCCGCGCGACGAGCGGGGCGCCGGACGCCAGCGCCGCCTCGAACTTCTCGCACAGCTCGTGGTAGCGCTCAATCGCAAAGACCCGGTTGGTCTGGTAGTTAAATCCGGGGTACGTGTAGTTCCACGAGCCGTCGGCGGCGATGAGAGGGACGCCGAACAAGCTCGACAGGTCCGGCGAGAGCGCCGCCGCGTCGTACTCGTTCTGCGTCATCTTGCTCGGTGGCGGCCGCTTCTGCTTCGTGTTGTCTTCGTGCTCCTATCGGACGAGTTGGCGTGTGAGGGTCGAGCCCTCCAGCGACGAGGGCGCCGGCGCGGCGAGGTGGGTTGGCGAGGCGAAGTGGCGGTGTGAGGAGCGCGGTTGGCTCTCCTCGTTGCTGCACTTGGAGCAGAAGGGGGTGCCGGAGCTCATCAGGACGAGAACCTCCTTGCACTGGCGCCGCAGCAGTGTGAGCGAGGCCGTGTTGTCGAGGTTTCCGCCGTCACCGAGCTTGAGCGTGTTCCACACGCCCACGTTGGTCTCAAAGCGCGCGGTGGGCAAAAGGGCCTCGAGGACAGCGTTCTCGATCCTCCCCTTGGGCGAGATTCGCTTCGAGCTGAGGTAGGCGGCCTCCATCATGCTGCCCGCGCCGATGTAAAACTCCAGCGAGTTAGCCTTGCCAAAACCCTGGCTCCATTCGGACGGAGGCACACCTGGCACGTGGCCAATGTCGAGAGTCTCGCTCATGCAAGCCAAGCCGCTGACCTCGGCCGGGGGGCCCGAGTAGCCGGTCGCCACCTCGCTCGGCGACACCACGTACTGCACGGGAGCGCAATTATCGTGCTTCGCGCGCGCCTCCTCGGGTGACGGGCCGTCTATCGTGGCGGCTGCCACGTCGGCGGCGTTGATGTTCCTGACAAAGTCCTTGGCGAGGCTCATCCCAATGCACCCAGGCAGGGTGCACGCGGGAATTGGGCCCAACTGCGCCACCGATGGGCCGTACATTGTGATGCCAATCAGCGGGGTCGAGGCGCAGTACTTGGCCGGAAAGAGGTAGTCGTCCCGGCGGCCGCCTTTGGCGTCCACCTCGGCAGCCGAAGCGGCAAACAGCTTTCCCTGCGGCACGCCAAAGGGCGCGAGGTAGACCCGCCAGACGTTGCGGATCCACGAGATCGCGCCGAAGGGTTGTAGCGCGAGGGAGGATGCGATGCACGACAAGGGAAAGGAGAGCAGGATCGAGCAGTACGTCATGGGCTTGGTGGACACCGGTTGGCCCATGCTGCGGGGCTCAACTGTGCTGCAGGCCTCAACGGTGAGCTCCGACGGTGAAAGCGCAGCGCGGCCCACGTCGAGCAGCACATCGCGAGGCACCGTCTGGTTGAAGGAGTACGTGGCCGTGGCCCAGCCGCCGCCGCTCGCGCCCGACATCCACTGCTTCTCCGGTGGGTTGTCCAGCGCTCCCTTGACCGCGAGACCGCGCAGCACCCCAAAGGCACACGTGTAGGCACGATTGCCGCCGCCACTGAGCGCGATGCCCGTTCCTCCCGTGTCTGGTCCACGCTGCGCCGCTGCCGCCGCCGCAGCGGCCTCCGCACGGCGAGTGGCCAGGAAATTGTGCGACGGCTTGGGGTGCGTCGGCAGCTTGGTCCCCCTGCCGCCGTCCTTGGTGGGGGGCGGCGGCATACATTGTATGTGTCAAGGAGCGATCGACGGGCGATGACGGGCACCGGAACGAAACACAAAGAAAAGAATTTTAACTTGCCCAATCGCCGACGGGTGCGGCGTGCGGGACCGCGGCGCAGCCAGTGCCGTGGCGATGCCTCCGGCTGTTTGTTTGCGGCGGGCGGCTTGCTGCTCGCTGCATGGCGAAAGACTCGTCTCGCCACACGCCAAGGGCTTATGCTCTGGCCGAGACGTGAGGCGCATGCGCCCAGGAGGGGAGGGGCATGCGTAACGACACTGCTAGAGATGCCTTTCGGGGCCCAGAGATAAAACTTCTGATGCCATGCGTGACCTAGTAGTGTCCCCAGCTATGGGCGTGTGTCCACGTTGTTGCCAGGTGTGGTGTGGACGCGAGAATAGCTCCGCCGTTCATGGAGGCAACCGATGCGAGTCCGACTGGTGTGTGTCGTCGTGGTTTCGTATCAAGAATACTCCACTGTCACTCACTCACACGCCCGTCTGCCCCCAACCCGTCTCTTCGAACCAACTGGATCAAGAACAAGCAAAAGAACAAACAGGAGGCGGCAAACGGCCTCTTGTCCTCGGCCCCAGTCGCAGTGCGCAGTGGGAGGTGCCCGCGCCGCCTAAGCTCTGCGGACGGGCCCCTCCACCCTTCATGTACGGATCATGTAGAGCGCTCGTCCCGCGTCCCACTTCGCGCTGTCCAAGCCATCGGTTTTTGATTTTTTTCAGCCCGCTCGCTACGACGTACGAGTGTATGATCTAGTGCCTGACAGAGACCCGTCGGCGTCGCGCTGGGAGGGACACTCTCTTGGAGCGCTCTACATCAAGACTGCGAAAGAAGCGCTTCGCGCCGTCGCCATCGGGGCCACCGCCTCCCACACATTCTCGGCCGGGTCGTACCGCTCCACCGAGCTGAGGTAGCCGTCCTCGTTGTTGCGGCCTCCCACAGCGTACAGCTTGCCGTCGAGCACCACCACGCCGTGCTCGACCCGCTCCTCCGCCATCGGCGCCACCGCCTCCCACCCGTTCGTCGCCGGGTCGTACCGCTCGACCGAGCTGAGGTAGCCGTTGTTGTGGCCGCCGACAGCGTACAGCTTGCCGTCGAGCACCACCGCGGCGTGAGCAAGCCGCGCCGTTGCCATCGGTGCCACCTCCTCCCACCCGTTCGTCGCCGCGTCGTACCGCTCGACCGAGCTCAGGCGGCTGTCGTTGCCGGCTCCGCCCACAGCGTACAGTTTGCCGTCGAGCACCGCGACAGCGTGAGCCATCCGCGCCGACGGCAGCGGCGCCACCTCCTCCCACGCATTGGCAGCCGGATCGTACCGCTCGACCGAGCTGAGCCAGCCGTCGTCGTCGTTGTCGCCTCCCACAGCATACAGCTTGCCGTCGAGCACCGCCATGCCGTGATACGCGCGCGCCTCCGCCATCGGCGCCACTTCCTCCCACGACTTCGTAGCCAGGTCGTACCGCTCCACCAGGTTGGAAGTTGCCAAGTCGTCCTCATCATCCTGGCCGCCCGCCGCGTAGAGCTTGCCATCGAGTACCGCCATGTGCGCCCTCAGGCGCCCCGACGGCATCGGCGCCACAGCCTCCTCCTCCCACTCGTTTGTGGACGGGTCGTACCGCTCCAGCGAGTTGAGGAACTCGCCCTCTCCGTCTTGGCCGCCGATCACGGTCAGGCGCGGCCTCTCGCGCTTCTTCAGCGTCTCCTTCCAGCCGCGGCGCCACGCGCGGCACGTCCCCTTGGCGGCGTGCGCCTTGGTCGGCAGCTGGGCGAGGATGTGCGGGGCGAGGTCCGGCGAGAGGAGGACCTCGGAGAGCACCCACTCGGGCTGCTCCACGAGCCGAGCGGCGTGCTCCTCCGCCACGCGCAGCGCGGCGTCGCTCGCGCCCGCCTGCGCCTCGATGATGGCGCACAGCTGCGCTGGCGAGAGGACCGAGACGCGGGCGCCGATGCGGTGGGCGGCCATCTCACAGCGCGGGCTTGTCTCTCCTGCTGCCGGCTTGTCTGCCGGCTTGCTAAAAAAATTCGGCGGCGATTAGGCGAATGTGAGTTGGGAGCGAGGGGGCGGAAGTGTTCAGTGCGGTAGATGGTCAGCTCGAGGCGCGTGAGCCGGACTTGTGAGCCGGACCACCCCCTCTTGTTCCCTGCGTTGTTGAGCCAGGACTCAACATACTCGGGCTGTCGCCGTCCCAAACTGTCACTCCCCTTTCTCCCGGCCGAGGTGGGGCGCGCGCGGGGGCGGCGGGTGTGCGGCGGGTGTGCGGGATGTCTGTGGGCCCGAGAGCGATATGCCATGTCCGCCTTGCGTTTGTTTCATAACATCGAAGGCTAGCTCAAAAAATTTAAACGGGTTTTCGTTGCTGCTGCTGCTGCTGCTGCTGCTGCTGTTACGTCATCGGGAAAAATAAAAAAATCGATGAATTACTTTTTCAGGGTCTTCTCTTCCGCGCCATGAGGACCGCCTCTTCGACCACACTTGCGTAGAGGCGGAAGAATGACCGGAAAGAGTACCCCTCGACCGAGCCGTTCTTTTTACTGCCATATAAGCATAAAAAGAAAAAACACCATGGCGAAAATCGTTTAACAAACAGCGACGACCAGCAGCAACGCGATTTACAGCAGCGTCCTGCCGAGTGTGTGTAGCACCGACGCAGACGCACCCCAGGCACTACACTACGACGGCTAGGCAGACCTCACCAGTCCGATAAGGATCAACTGGAAGGTTGAACCTCGAGCTTAGACAGAACGGGCGCGACAGACTCCAGGGGAGATCGCGCTCTACTCGGGGCACCAAGGAGGAAAACCGAAACCGTTTGGGTGCCCCACAAAAACCCAAACGCTACAACCTAAAAGTCACACCTCCCCCCCACGTCCCCCCCCCCTTGGGGACGTAGCGCACGCCCTTACTCGGAGAGAGTGGGGGGGGAGGGGGGGTGGGGGAATAGGAGGAGCCGTCGAGCTCGGAGTAAGGTCCACAGTAGAGAGACAGGCATTTAAGGCGTAACTTCACCCTCGCTCACCTTGAGTATATCTAGGCGCCCTGGTGCAGTCGGTCTTCGGATCAGCGGCCAGCTTCCCATCTAGGGCAGGGAACCCCCAGCGACGCTAGTGTGGCCTACGGTAGCCTCAGCTTGTACGCGATCCCGGGGCAGGGGGGTGTGGACTCTAGAGCTCCAAGAAAGGATAGGGAGAGGAAGGGAGATTGGTGTGCCGGTTTTTCGCGTTAGCAATTTTTTTTTCAAGCAGAGAAGCCGGGAGGGAGAGAGCGACGCGGCGAGCGCAGGCGGCGAGCGTGCACGTCGCCTGTGCGGCGTCTTGTTCACTCCCCTTTTGAGCTACCTTTGTGCCCCCTTAGGGGCACCCCTCCTGCGCTGCGCGTATGGTCCTATGGTCACCCCTCCCTTCCGCCCTGTTGCGTTTTGGATGCCCCCCCGCTCCGAGAAAGCATGTCTCGCAGCTGCGAGAAAAGACCCAATCGGCGGGGCCACCCGCTACCAGCTATCAACCGAGTCACGTCACACCGCTCCTGCCAGCCTTCTTAGTATAAAACTAATATAAGAAATGCGACAGTGCCAGAAGTGTATGATGTATAGCGTCTCCTCGGACGGAGACCCGTCGCGCTGGGAGGGACACTATCTTGGAGCGCTCTACATCAAGACTGCGAAAGAAGCGCCTCGCGCCGTCGCCATCGGCGCCACCGCCTCCCACCCATTCTCGGCCGGGTCGTACCGCTCCACCGAGCTGAGGTAGCCGTTGTTGAAGCCTTCCGCAGCATACAGCTTGCCGTCGAGCACCGCCACGACGTGAGCAAGCCGCGCCGCCGCCATCGGTGCCACCTCCTCCCACCCGTTCGTAGCCAGGTCATACCGCTCGACTGAGCTGTGGGCGCCGTTGTATCCGCCGTTGTACCCGCCCACAGCGTACAGCTTGCCGTCCAGCACTGCCACGGCGTGACGACTCCGATCCGTCGCCATCGGCGCCACCGCCTCCCATGCGTTCGTCGCCGGGTCGTACCTCTCCACCGAGGCGAGGTAGCCACCGTTGTACCCGCCGATAGCATAGAGTTTGCCGTCGAGAGCCGCCATGGCGTGATGAATCCGCGCCGACGGCAGCGGCGCCACCGCCTCCCACGCGTTCGTCGCCAGATCGTACCGCTCCACGGAGCTGAGGAAGTCGTCGTCGTACCCGCCCACGGCGTACAGCTTGCCGTCGAGCACCGCCATTTTGTGAGCCTTGCGTGGCGTCGCCAGCGGCGCCACCGCCTCCCATGTGTTCGTAGCCAGGTCGTACCGCTCCACCGAGTTGGAAGTTGCTTCGTCAGCCCCAGTCTCGCCGCCCACCGCGTACAGCTTGCCATCGAGCACCGCCTTTCCGACAAACCTTCGTGCCGTTGGCATCGGCGCCACAGCCTCCTCCTCCCACTCATTCGTTGACGGGTCGTACCGCTCCAGCGAGTTGACAGTCCCACCCTCGCTGTCGTGGCCGCCGAACACGAGCATGCGCGGCCTCTCGCGCTTCTTCAGCGTCTCCTTCCAGCCGCGGCGCCACGCGCGGCACGTCCCCTTGACGGCGTGCGCCGAGATCGGCAGCTGGGCGAGGATGTGCGGGGCGAGGTCCGGCGAGAGGAGGACCTCGGAGAGCACCCACTCGGGCTGCTCCACGAGCCGAGCGGCGTGCTCCTCCGCCACGCGCAGCGCGGCGGCGCTCCAGAGGGGCGCCTGCTCGTCGATGAAGGCGACGAGCTGCTCTGGCGAGAGGCCAGACAGGCGGGCACCGATGCGGTGGGAGGCCATCGGGCGGCGCGAAGAAAAGAAACAAATTGATGTGCGCAAGGGCTGTACATATCGGCAGGAGAGCCCCACCTGTCCCCCTGATCGTCCTTCCAAAATCTTGCTCGTGCAGGTGGGGACCCTGTCCTCGTCCCATCCCTCGTTTGGTGTGTCTGTTTTCTTTCTTTCTTTTACTATCGGCAAGCGCAACCTCCTAGCGCGCTTCAAGAGAAGCAAGGCCTCAGCTTGTCCCACTCCGCGTCGACGATCCAGGCCATCATGTCGGCGAGCAGATTTGTCTGCAGCGGCGTGAACTCCATCAGGCCCTTGTTCTGCCCAAGCGTCGCAAAGGTGGGAAAGTTACCCGGCGTGTTGACGCTGTCCACCTCGCCGTTGAGCACGGCCTCGAGGGTCGCCGGCGGCACCTTCTGCAGCCACTGGCGAGGCGCTTGGTTCCAAATGACGGTGTAGTTGCACGTGTACGGCACGACCCCGTGGAAGGTGTTGGCGTGCACCTGGCCGGCGAGGTGGTGCGTGGGTGAGTAGAAGCGACAGCGGTGGACGGGAGAGGGAGGAGGAGAGTGTTGCATGGGGTCGGAGCGCAAACGGGAGATATTGGGGAGTGAGGTAGGGATGTCGGCGAGCGCACCTCCACGTTCTCGAGCCGCGCGACGAGCGGGGCGCCGGACGCCAGCGCCGCCTCGAACTTCTCGCACAGCTCGTGGTAGCGCTCAATCGCAAAGACCCGGTTGGTCTGGTAGTTGAATCCGGGGTACGTGTAGTTCCACGAGCCGTCGGCGGCGATGAGAGGGACGCCGAACAAGCTCGACAGGTCCGGCGAGAGCGCCGCCGCGTCGTACTCGTTCTGCGTCATCTTGCTCGGTGGCGGCCGCTTCTGCTTCGTGTTGTCTTCGTGCTCCTATCGGACGAGTTGGCGTGTGAGGGTCGAGCCCTCCAGCGACGAGGGCGCCGGCGCGGCGAGGTGGGTTGGCGAGGCGAAGTGGCGGTGTGAGGAGCGCGGTTGGCTATCCTCGTTGCTGCACTTGGAGCAGAAGGGGGTGCCGGAGCTCATCAGGACGAGAACCTCCTTGCACTGGCGCCGCAGCAGCGTGAGCGAGGCCGTGTTGTCGAGGTTTCCGCCGTCACCGAGCTTGAGCGTGTTCCACACGCCAACCTGGCGGGCCGCGGATCGGGGCATCAGGTTGAGAAGAAGGGGTGCACGCCGTGTGGGCGGCAAGCACGTTGGTCTCAAAGCGCGCGGTGGGCAAAAGGGCCTCGAGGACAGCGTTCTCGATCCTCCCCTTGGGCGAGATTCGCTTCGAGCTGAGGTATGCAGCTTCCATCATGCTGCCCGCGCCGATGTAAAACTCCAGCGAGTTAGCCTTGCCAAAACCCTGGCTCCATTCGGACGGAGGCACACCTGGCACGTGGCCAATGTCGAGAGTCTCGCTCATGCAAGCCAAGCCGCTGACCTCGGCCGGGGGGCCCGAGTAGCCGGTCGCCACCTCGCTCGGCGACACCACGTACTGCACGGGAGCGCAATTATCGTGCTTCGCGCGCGCCTCCTCGGGTGACGGGCCGTCTATCGTGGCGGCTGCCACGTCGGCGGCGTTGATGTTCCTGACAAAGTCCTTGGCGAGGCTCATCCCAATGCACCCAGGCAGGGTGCACGCGGGAATTGGGCCCAACTGCGCCACCGATGGGCCGTACATTGTGATGCCAATCAGCGGGGTCGAGGCGCAGTACTTGGCCGGAAAGAGGTAGTCGTCCCGGCGGCCGCCTTTGGCGTCCACCTCGGCAGCCGAAGCGGCAAACAGCTTTCCCTGCGGCACGCCAAAGGGCGCGAGGTAGACCCGCCAGACGTTGCGGATCCACGAGATCGCGCCGAAGGGTTGTAGCGCGAGGGAGGATGCGATGCACGACAAGGGAAAGGAGAGCAGGATCGAGCAGTACGTCATGGGCTTGGTGGACACCGGTTGGCCCATGCTGCGGGGCTCAACTGTGCTGCAGGCCTCAACGGTGAGCTCCGACGGTGAAAGCGCAGCGCGGCCCACGTCGAGCAGCACATCGCGAGGCACCGTCTGGTTGAAGGAGTACGTGGCCGTGGCCCAGCCGCCGCCGCTCGCGCCCGACATCCACTGCTTTCCCGGTGGGTTGTCCAGCGCTCCCTTGACCGCGAGACCGCGCAGCACCCCAAAGGAGCACGTGTAGGCACGGTTGCCGCCACCGCTGAGTGCGATGCCCGTTCCTCCCGTGTCTGGTCCACGCTGCGCCGCTGCCGCCGCCGCAGCGGCCTCCGCACGGCGAGTGGCCAGGAAATTGTGCGACGGCTTGGGGTGCGTCGGCAGCTTGGTCCCCCTGCCGCCGTCCGTCCTCCTATCCCTCCACCAAGTTATCCCTCCTCCCTTTGCGACGGCTTGGGGTGGCGGCGGCATACACGTATGTGTCAAGGAGCGATCGACCGCCATCAGGACATGGGTGTCACGCGGGACAAGGGTGTCGCCATCAGGACTTGCCTAAGAGGGCGGACATTCTCGCGGCCATGTGAGTGCCTCTTAGGCAAGTCGGAGGGGCCCGGCGCGCTCGCAGCCTTGGCTCCTTGGCCTTGCGCGGCGTCGCCGGAGGCATGGCAAATTGATGGATGCCGCCGAGCCGATCTGTCTGAGCACTGAGGTCATTGCTTAAGGGTTTCGGCGTATAGCTGTATAAGCAGCGCGGTGCGGCGGTGGATACCTGGATTTTCTTTTTTTGTGTATCATATCTGTGTTAGTGCCAGTGCGCGCCACGGCCCGAGTCCCGTGCGGTGTCGGCGTTTTTTTGAGAGCCGGACTCGGAGGTGTCTCTCGGGAGCTGTCGGGAGACCTTTTTTTTAGGTCGTGGACGCGAGATATGGAGCTAGAGCATCTAGCAACAAGGGCGCATCGCCGTGGGCGGCTATTGCGTATTTTATGGCTATTGAGGACATGACTCATGAGGAGCCACACGCCCGACCGCTGCGGCATAAACGCGCCGCGCTTGCGGCGCGGAAAGGCGCCACACGAGCCTCTCGCCGACGCGCACCGCGGCGCAAGACGGCCGCGGCGCCCCGCGGTGCCCAGCGGGGACGGGCGTGCCTCGCTCAGTACGAACGCCCCCACAGCGTCCAGCAGACGGCGGGCTTGCCCGAGATGAAGCACGGCGTGCCGTCGGGCAGCGGCGGCGCCTCGTACGGGATGCAGAGCGTCTTGACGGCGAGCGAGATGGCAGCGCGGTCGTCCTCCGCCTCCTCGCCCGCCGCCGCGAGCGCCTCCTCCTTGGAGCGCTTCTTGACGAGCTCCTCAAACTCCTATTCCGCAGCCGGGCAAGCCATCATCTCGCCAGCCCCGGGGCCGAGGCGGGGCGCCGACCCCGGCGGCCTTCTCGTTGCAGTAGGGGGTGAGGACGAGGTTGCCGGCGCCAATCTTCGCCATGAAATCCTCCCACGTCAGCGCCTGCGCCACGTAGCTGTCGCGCGTCTGCCGCGCGCGCGCAAGCATCTCGTGCTGCCTACGAGCGCCGCACGCTCGGCGGCGTGAGGCGTCCACATTTGCACACAAGCCGCCCCGGGGGAGGCGTGCGAGCGGCGCGCATTTGCACGAGCAGCAGCGCCGCCTTCTGCGGCAGGATGGACAGCGGCACGTCCTCCTTGTCGTTTGTGTCGCGCCGCACTACCCGGATCTGCTGCTTGGCCATGTCCTTCGGGCCGAGCTCGAGCCGCAGCGGGACGCCCTTGAGCTCCTGCGGCGG